ATATTACACCAACAGGAAGCCACATCTTTCCAGTGTTGGAAAGATTTTGCAGAGGATCACATCACTCTCAGCCATGTCCTACTCAGTTCTGTGCTGCATATTCTAAGGTGGTAAAACGTAACAGGCTACTGCTGCTTACCTGTAAATTGTGGGAGTATTTTACTCAACCATCTTGTCTTCTATTGCTTTAAATGCCACCTGCATGTACGGCACTCACGTTCAGCTGCACTATTTCTACATGTGGCAATTACCTATTGTGCACTGATACCAGTGGCACTGATAATAAGCTACTTAATGAATATAATTTATGAAACTAAACTAATTATCAAGAATTCTAGCAAAAGAAAAATGCTCAAGTTAAATTCACTTTGTACACAAGGGTATCGAAACCTCAGTTTAGTTCTGCAGCTCTTTCCTTAAAAAATACAACAATTGCAATTAGGTTTTATGTATGTCATTTGCTTCATTTGTCACACAGTTCCAATTATGCATGCTTTAAATGTCTTGAGCTCCCTCTCAGAGTTTCACAAGAAGTGGGAAAGTTAAGAGAGGAGCTCCAGTTCATTTATATCTCTTGCTTTTATTGATCACTGGTGTGCAATTAAGAAGAGGTAAACAAAAAGAATGTAGCAGGAGACCTCTGAAAAGATCAACAGTCCCCAAGACTCATATTATTGATTTAATTAAAGCAATGAATAAATCCTTTTAAATACTATATTTTCACACATACTACCCACAGGTTATCTGTAAAAACAAATTCAATAGCAGCGTGAGTGATACGGGGTTTTAGGGAAAGTTTATCACATAACCCCTTCCCCACTAACTCTCTGCCTGGTGACTTCTGTCCCCTAATCCTCATCTCTGACATCTCTTGATTCTGACATTGCGCAGCTTATTTGAACACATATTTTCAAATACTGCTATTTTAAAGGTGAATGAGCTATCTGAGGTATGGGTTAGAGATCTGAAAAACATGGTGTGTTCATGCCTAGTTCCATATTAACAGCATCTGTTTACTACAACTTTTGCAGAGGAATTCTGGCTAGGCCTGAACAAGACCTATTCCATTACTAAACAAGGGGACTACATCCTACGGATTGAGCTGCAGGACTGGAAAGATAATAAACGTTACATCGAGTATGCATTCAGCTTGGGAGGCCCCGAAACAGACTACACTCTCCAGCTTTCACGGATCTCCGGGAGCATCCCCAATGCCCTGCCAGAGCAGACAGAACTGAGGTTCTCAACTGCAGACCATGACATGGACGTAATAAATGACTTCAGCTGTCCAGAAAACTACCTAGGTATCAGTATGCTGGGTATATTGCCATGGAAGTATTTTTGTTACATGAAGGATGGTAGTATGCTTTAGTGGGTAGTTATTGATATTAGCCTGGCTTTAGATACAGAAAACAGCAGGTAGTAGCATCTTTCCACTTGCAGGAAAGGGCAGGAGATGTTTTTCGTTGGCAGATAGCAGGGTCCTACAACAAGGCATCCCCTTTCTATTTCATAGAGAGGTAAAACTAAAGCATAGTGAGGCTGTGCAAATGACCAACACCAGAAACAGAACTAGCAGCACAGGTTGAAACAAAACCCCAAGATGAGATTCTGAGCTATGAAGTAAAGGGCAGTTCTTCCTCTGATGCCTGGTCTGGTGTGGCAGCCCTAGGTTGGATTGTTTAATCCCTCCTTGCAAAAAAATAAACAGTAGACAAACCGACTCAACTCCATTTTGACTACAAACCAAAAGTTAAGAGTGATGGTGAGTTTCCATTACTGCAGATTTTGGCATTTTGTCAAGTATACATGACATAATCACTTTCAAAAGAGCAAGAGAGATGCAAGGCTGAAGACATTTCTCCTTAAAGATAATTTGGTTAAAGGATTCCTAATTCTTTGATTTTCTGAAGCTTTTATGTTTGGCCAGTTTATAGCAAAAAGCAAACAATTGAAAAAAGCAATTAATGATTGAAACACAGGATACAGAATTGCCCTCCAGACACCTGCTTCATGCAACAAACGTTTTGTACGTCATTCTAGGCTTGAAAATTGTTGATGTCTGAAACAATGCCAAGAGTGTTACTCAGCTCTAGTGACCGTAAAGCAGATGGCCAATGACTTCCAAAGTGCTAAACTTTCATTTTTAGCACAGAGACACTGCCAGTCCTTTGCAAGCAGAACTAGGCTTACAATTTAAGCTTGTAGCTAAGGACACCAGCCAATAAAAAAGAGAATTTGTCTACTAAAGGCTCTTCAGCCTCCTGTAGATGCAGAGATTTAACAATTTGTACCTGAGAAAAATATCAGCAAATCAGAAAGTCAGTTGTAGAGGGTCATGGGAAACATGAAAGTGTGGAGCTAACTTTGTAGGTGTCCCAATTCCGTGGCACCATTTGTGTGTGCAGTTTTCCTATGCACCGCTACTTTTATGTGAAGCTGACAATAATGGGGAGCACAGTATCTTTGTACTGGCCCTCAACTTGCAAGTGTAAGTGGGTATACATACAAGCACCATTTCATTTGGGTATACTGGGTAATTGTCACTTTTACTGGAACTGGTCTAAAGATTTATGTTGCAAACAGGAGCTGTCTACTCGGAAACTGAGCACAATATGTTAGTGTACAACTGACAGTAACTGACATTACAATATTTTTCCTTAGGAGGCTGGTGGCACAGCGAATGTGAGGAAACAAATCTTAACGGGAAATATGTTGCACCAAGGTCAAGAGGAAGACTAGACAGAAGAAAAGGCTTATACTGGAAGCCTAAGAAAGGAAGATACTACTTGCTCAAGTCAACCAAAATAATGATACACCCAACAGATTTAAAAAGTTTTGACTGAATGCTCAACCTGATGCATTTTAATTCAGAACATATACACTGAACATTACTACATCAAAGAAGTTCGTGTTATGTTTAGTAACAGATGCATGTCTATATCCATACACTGTATGGCGTATTCTCCAATACATAAACCTGAGGCATTTGCGATGGTCTTACAGTATGTTTGGTGAGTATCTCATTCCCTCTAGCCCCAATGTCAATGTGCTGTAACTTTCAGGGAGCTTTTGCCTCCCCAGGATGAAACTCTAATGCCTAAGAATCAACCGCTTATTCATGTATTAGATAATAGTGCTTGAGGGAATGGGTTTTCAGGCTGTTGCATTCGTTTCTGGGTTGTGTAGTAGGGAACACAAAAAGCATTTCAGTAAACAAAGGGCTGGCAAAATGCTACGGAAGACATTTAGGTATTACTCTATAGGAAAAAAAGGCAATTTTGTTTTGTAAAGTAGCTAATTTGATGTTTGTTTCATGTTATTATTGTGGAATGTTTCTATGAGCAAATGAAAGATGCGTAATTCCCCATTTTAGGGTTCTATGTATTTCCAGGCAAATTTTCAGCAGTGTAGCTCAGGCCAATCTTTGCTGAAGCACTGTACTCACACAGCTACAGATGTGTACACACACATCAAGTAAGCCACGGCACAGGCCTAATCTTTTAGATGCCACACTTTGAAAAATAACTTAAGAATTACTCTTTCTTACTGAAAGCTAAGAGCTAAGCTTCAAAGTTTACTGAAATGAATAAGAGATTTTTTCCTTCTCGTTTGAAATGGAATCAGAGCCATCCCTTTGCAACCTTTTAGTACACTTAACTAAGAAACTAAATGAAAGACCAAGTGAGCACATAACAAACCACCTTTCAAATAGAGAACAGTTGCCTGTGGGGCAACTCCAATAGAGTCAATGGTACCAACCAACAAACCCTGTAGGCACAACCTACGTGACAGTGTTGGTCCTGCTCCTGAGAACACACTCACATTTGTTTAACTTCAGCTGCAGAATACTCTAAGGCAGAAGGACTATTGACATGCTTGTGGATGGCTGGCCATGGAAGTGTTGACTGACAAAGGCCCTGATTCTGCAGTTACATTGAGTCATATTGACTTGTATGTCTTACCTAATCCTTGTACAGTATGGATTTTTTATCTCAACATTTGCAACCATAGAGAAAATGGTTTTAAATTGTAATTTCTCAGAGTGAACAGAATGTGCTAATTACAGAAAAACTGCAAAATTACTTTTACTTCTCATGGATTTATTAAGAAGAAGAGATCACACAGTGCAGCTTATTTGTACTGGTGTATTGTAATGTTTAATTACCTGTCCAACCTCAATAAATAAATAAATAAATAAATAAATAAATTTAACTTTTGAAGACATGAGATATGGAACTTGACCGAACTCTTTCTTGTAAGCTTTGGTTTATAAAAACCTGGTTTGTATTTATCTAACTTTTACAAGAAGTAACAGATTCCATGAGTAAATTGGTGAAATTAGCTGAAGACAGCAATTCCATTCAGATGTGTAATGTCTTCAATGATACTCTGAAAAAGCTTTAAATGAATAGTGGTATGTAATGAAAAGAAATCTGCTCCCTGCCTAGGCTTAGTTACAGAAATGTTACTGTCTTCCAAGATACTTTAGAAAAATTTCTTATCTTCCAGATCTTCTGAAGATTTTTTTCCAAGCATTGTAAACAAAGAAATTGCTTTTAAATCAAAATGGAAATATGAACAAAGGGATTACACTTTTTCTTCATTTTTATCCTCCACTTCAAAAAAAAAAAAAAAAAAAGAAAGTCACTGAGAGTATCAGAAAGTAACAAAACCAGTGAGAGAATGATGACTTTAGCAGACAGATGAAGAAAAAAACCTACATAAAACTTAAAAGAATTCAGCTAAATTGCACCGTGAATTTTGGGAAATGGAGAAACCTCTCTGCTGTTATTGTTCACGGCCAAGTTTTATGCAAATATGTTTGTCCCTTCACAACTGTGTATTTTCTGCTGTGTCAGTCTGGAACTTTTTTGTACCTCTGGCACAGCAGATCTACTGATATAGCAAGTTTTGCAATGAACCAGATGATAAGGTAGGAATTTCTAGACTTGCCAGTCTCAGGCCCTGAAATGTGAAACGTATTTCAAAACTCTAACCTGTATGTGGTATTTGGAACGTAGACATCCCTGGCAGGAAACTCCAGGATTTCTCTTGTAGGTCTAACTCTGCTGTCTGGGTAAAGTTTGACTTGCAGCAACTCTGGAGTTAGACAGTAATGGGGATTCTCTGGAGCTGGAGATATGTCTATCTTTAATTGAGCTGTAAGAAGAAAATTATTTTATTACGATAAATAGAAGTTAATTTAAATCAAAAAGCATATTCATGCTTTGTTTCTTCAGATTAATTTCCTATATATTAATTTCATAAATAAACAGATGATAAATTACAGCCAATGTGGATTTGTTAAAAACAAGTAACAGTGAATCAAATTGGTATCTAGGGCAACCGGGGTACCAGATAACAAGAATCAAGAGAAAAGATGTATCTTAACAAGTCCCAAATGCTGTTCTTATAGGCAAGTTGGGGAAATACAGTCTAGATAATGCTACTGCGAGGCCCAACTACTGTTAAAAACCTTACTCAACGTCTCATCAGGAACCTTGCCTATCAAACTGGAAGAATACAGCAGGAGTTGCTGAAAGCTAATCTGCACCAAGATTACTGAATATTTTCCTTAGTAGGTCAGCTGACAGTATTGACAGCAGACTTATTGTGGGTGGATGGCACTGAGGCTGGAATGATTGTAAAAATTTGGAAGACAGGAGAGCTGGAGAAATGGCATCAAATGACTAAGGTGAAACATAAGAAAGAGCAAAGGACTTGCGTTAAGAAGGAGAAACCAAACATACAAACATAAAAAAATATAATAATTGGCATGGATCAACTCTGTAGAAAGGGGCTGGGTGACAGCAGTGAAAATAAGCCAACGTCAGAAGAAAACTACAACCATTCTAAGCCACATTAGTGCAATGTCATGTGTAAGACACTGGAGACAAATTCGTCTGCTTTGCTTGGCATGAGGTCTTAGGAAGAGCAACATAACCAGTTTAGAGCACCATGCTTGAAGAAAAGCATGGACAGATTAAAGAAACTCTAGCAGAGAGTAACAGGCAATTTTAAAATCCCAACCTTTGAGGAAGGGTTGAAAAAAACCCGAGATTGGTTAGGCTACAAAATAGAGGTGAATAAGAGTGAACTAATAACAGTATTCAAGTACTTGAAAGGTTGTGATAACTGCCCTGAGGGCATGACAGACCATAATCAGATTAATTTGCAGCAAGATAATTTTGCAAAGTTTTCTTAATACCTAACCTCACCATAAGGACAGCTGAGTGCTGGGAGAGATGATCTAAGGAAGCAGTAGGATTGCTGTCACTGGAGATTTTTAAAAAGAGGTTAAGTAAATATTGTCAGGAATAGCACAGGTCAGGGACCAGTGATGTTTCACTGCTGGTGTGCCAGCGTTTTTACTTCCTATCTCAAACAGAGGTGGAGTCTGTTCCTATTAACCAAGTAGGAACCAGAAGAGAGTTCTCCTCTTAGCTAGAGAGTGGTATTTTACTCAGGAAAACAGAGGCTCCTCAGTCCCTGCTGGGTTTAGGGCTTTGTGGTTTGCATCGTCTTCTCACAGATACTAGTCTCAGCATTGCAGGAGCTGCATGTGCACGCATAACAGTGAAAAACCTGCCAAAATGCCATCTTTAGTGCTTGTGGTCTACCAGGGATTGCTGTGGATGACTTCTTAAGGTTTTTTTCATCTGCTCACTTATAAGAACTGGGTGGCAATTGTGAAGAACTAATCAAATACCTTAACACGTGAGCCAAAAAGATCTCGTTCAATACCTGTGATAGGTCTCAATCTCCGTAACACTGATGATGGCCGTCTCATGTCAGCAAGGAACTTATACAAATCTTCATCGCTCAGGCGATCACCCTCCTGTTGGACATTGGGAAGAAAATGGTTAGCTACACAACCCTTCAGGACTGCAAGAGAATGAATAAACCACCTCATACTATAGTCTCTTTCCTCTGATATCAAAATGTACCTTCCCAGAAGAAGGTGTTAACATTAACATGCTAAATTACAGTTCATTTCTCCATCCTTTTTCCTTCCTTTTTTCCTTATTAATCATCATGACAGCTGCAGGAACTTCTCATTGAAAACCTTTTCTCTCCCCATCAATATTATCTTTTTCAAAACTGAAAATGGCTATTAAAAGATTTCCCCAAAATATCCAATTTTTAGCAAGTATAATAGTTTGAAAAAGTATCCGTCATTCAGGTAGTGATCCTCATTCCTTCTCCTCTGCCTTTTCTTTGGTATGAGTCTAAAAGAGCCTTACTTTTCAGGAGAAGTTTTAAGAAATGGTGGGAAGTGGAAGGATTCTGTTGCCACTTTTCCTTGAGCCACATTCTAGTAGCCCAGAATTTTGTTAGGTTTGGAAACATAGGAAATGTGACTCTGCCATCCTCTCACTATCCAAAAGCAGAAAATATCTGATAATAAAGGTCATAAATCACTATATGAAAAAAGAAGCAAATGGAAGGAGAAAAACGCTGGGTAGTATTCAATTAATTGTGCTCAACAACAGAAAAGGAAGGGAAGATAAAAAATAAAAGATACAGAAAAATCAGAAGCTTAAAATCCTAAATCAACATTTGGCAATTATTAAAGGACAAATTAATAAAACAAGCTGTTTCAAAGTTGTCAAGTGAAAACAAACCTTAATAAAGTAAATAAATATATGCTTTTGTAAATCATTACTAACTTAGTGACCAGATTTGAACTGGTGTATATTACAAAGAGGGCTGCAGAACATGGTCAGTGGAATGGCTGCATTAGCAATGCTGTAATAGTTTTTTTTCTTACTTTCTACATTTTGGGTGAATACGTTACAGAACTGGATTTTATTAACACCCCAAGCAAAAGGAACTTCCTGTGCTCCTCTGTGTCACTGAGACCCCAGAGATACCGTTCAGAGAGCCCGATTTCAGTCATACTGAGTTCCGTGAAAGCATGGAGCTCCAGAGGCATGAGTCACCCTCCACTTACATGGTTTGCACCAGTATTAACTTGATGCCCTTGATGACATTTCTCCTTATTTACACTACTGTATTTAAGAGCAGACTTTGGATGGCTACCCACAGTGAAAGTGGCATGTAACCAAAAAAATCAGGGAAAAAAAAAAGAAAAAAAAAAAGAAAAAAAAAAAAGCTTAACCAACTTTCAATATATAGAATCCAAATTTTTGTATTCCCAATGATCAAGAAATCAGTCCAAAAAATATCTGGCTGTACACTATTAAATCCCTTTTATACACAAAGGTGACATTGAAATAACAATTTTCCTTAACCAGATGTGGCATTAAGCAAATCTTAGCAAAAATTAATGAACTGAAACCATTTTCTAAGCTTAACTAAAAATTTTATTCCATTTAATCATGTTTTCTACTGCTTCTCAGGAAAATCCCAAGCTCTGGCTAAGAAGAGCTGCCACTCAGCAGAGCAGCATCAGAAGTGAAATGCTTTATTTTCTCAGGCATTCCTGGATGTGTCCAGGGAACTGATGCCAACCTCAAATCACATTGATGAACCTGGTTCTGAGCCTGCTGATGTTTCAACGGGATTGTCTATCAGCCAATGAAGCCAAAGGAGTCAACTGACCATCATGATAAAGGCTATGCAACTCCTAGACTAGGACAAATATCTGGAATACTTTTTGGCATATACTAATCCACAGAAGTTATCCTCCGTTTTTGTGAACTTGGTTCTATAAGCATTTTTCCAAATATGTTTACCAAAAGGCCAGGCAGTGATTTTTCCAATGCATGCTAGAAAAATCTGGAGCAAAATAAACTGCTGTTCTTCTGGGGAGACCCAGTTCTATTAGTTGGAGCGGTTAAATCACTATGCCATAATGATGCTTTATCATTCAAGTCAAAACCAGCTAATAATTTTGAATTCCTAACATAATCACTCACAGTAAACTTATTGAAAGAATCCACTAATCAACTGTGGACCCACTGCTGGGAGAATTAAGCACATGATATAATAAACCCACTGCATGCTGTCCAAAGATATCCTGTGATCAGGGAACAGACATTACATGCATTGAAAGCATCACAATTAATCATTCAGGTCTAAACTGACTCCACATGATCAAATCACTCTGTCCAAGAAGCAACTCCTTAATTAGATAGCTTCATAAAATACCTGTTTAAAGAAGTTTGTCACTGTCAGAGTAGCTGGTCTAAAACTGGTCAAATTGCAAGCCTCATCCCCACTTGTGGTTCTCTCTAATGAACGCCTCCCGACAATACTGGAATTCCGCCTCTCCGACCATGATCCTTTACGTTCTTCAAAAAATAAAAATAAAAAGGGGGAGGAATTAAAAAAAAATAGAGAAGAAAAACAATAGTCCAAGAACGTACTTTTGTTCCAACCAGGATTTTCTACACAAGAAGATAGGTGCTGCATTTGGAAATTATGCAATAAGCGTGATAGAAGAGGTGGTTATGCTAAGACAATCACACTCCTGAGGTATCAGGAGGCTATGAAGCACAGCTGACTACTTCTGCTCCTCTCACAGCAACCTCACCCCAGTGCCTTACTGCTATTATAAAAGTCTTTATCGTGTGGAGATTTATGTATTTCTCTTGCTCTGAAAGATGATGAAGTTGGCAGTTTTGGGGATGCTGAAGAGCAGTTTCAGATGAGCTATGTGGTTCACAAAGATTAATCCACTCCTTTGGAAAATGTTCATCAGCGTGTAACGCGCTCTCAGTCTTAGAAGCCTGGTTTTAAATAATATAACAGATGGTTTGCTTGTAAAATCCTTGAAAGATAAATCCATTTGTTATCATGGACTTTTCTGTTTTATTTCAACCATGACCCAAGACTATCAGAAGGCCTAGGGCAGGGGGAGGAAAGTGATAAAAGGAGCAACGGCAGCTACAGGGTATGAATCAAGACTTCAGTAAACTCTGGATTTGTCCACATTCTCTCATGCAGATGCCAGATACTGTACCTCCTGTGCCAACTTCTACTTCTGTGGAATCTCTTTCCAAACTTCCAGCGCTGCTCACAATGTTCATTAAATGAATAGCTGTCCAGGCAAAAGGCATTCGATACTTGCCCAGTCTTTGGCAAAACTGTTCTGCCTGGCATTTCAGTTTTTCCAACTTCTCCTTATTCTGTGAAGAAAATATTCAATCCAAGAGATTAAAAGGAGAGGAATAGGAACAAAGGTTCATTTAGCAAAATCAGTACGTAACAATGGCATCTTTTCTAACTTGCAATGATTCTGTGCTTCAATAGCACCTTCTAGAGGAGGATCACTACGTGCTATGCAAACCGACTTCTGCTTCACAAAACTGCCAGCAGGCCAACAGTACCAGACACAGGACGGCCTGACAGCCAGAGCAGCTGGCTTCATGCTCTTAAGCCTCCTGAATAGCCCATCAAATCCCAGTGAGCTCATCTGCCCACTGCCCTTTCAAGAAAAGCTGAATTTTACTCTATGAAGTCTGAAATGGCCTTTCTTAATGTGATTTTATGCAGCAGGTGCTCAGATCATCTGCAGTTGCATAGGAAACTGAAAACACTGCTCAAATAAGAAGCAGTACCATACTCATTTTGTTGAGGGAAAAAAAGGAGTAAGAGAGGACTTTTCCACAATTCTGCATATTAAAGGGCAATTTTTTGCTTTAGAAAGGTTGTCACCTACAGGCTTTTAAGAAGTCCCCAGAGAGGGGGCTGGATCACAACAGAGCGCGCTCTGTTGCTCACATTCTTCTAGTTCAGGACATGCTTATGCACCTTGCTGGGAAGGAGATCTTGAAAAATCAACTTTTCACCTACATTTCCAAGCATCCAGCTCCAAAATTTCACTTAGGCATATGTCAAGTTACTGATCACAGGAAATGTAGCTATTTACTTTTGTTATCTATATACTTGAGGTGAAAAATATCCATTTTTCATATTGTGGTGCAGTGATATAAAGACAGAGTTAGACAAAAAATGTTAACTTCTTCAGCTAAAAATAGATTAGAACTTTAGGACGGCAAAACTTTGTTAGAGTTTGATCGAAACTAACAAATGAACATCCCAGCTCCTTTGAAAAAAGCATAATGGAAAGCCTCTCATCACAAGAAGGGCTGGCATCTGTTTTGCCCTTCATCCAGTCCTCACTATTACACTTTGATCTTCACTTGGCTCAATCCAATTGCACAAGAAATTAGGAACCATTTCTGAGACTCATAAGCACTGCTTCACATTCCACGTATCCAAGGTTTCCTTTCCAAGCTCGCTTGTACATCTTACAAACTAGAGTTATAAAATAATATAGTGAGCTCAAGTTAGAGTTTTCTCCTTCCGACTGCTAGTAAAATCAGAGATTTGCTATGCTATAACCACTGCTGTATTGGAGAAAGCACTTCAGAAAAACAAATAGTAGCCTGCGGGTGAAAAGACTGAGGAAAGGACATAGTCCAGGTGCCACTAAATTCTGCAAGTGCTACCAGCATTCCTGTTTGCTCCTGAACCTACCAAATCTGCAATTCCCACCCACACCCTAATAGCACATGACCATACCTTCTGTATGGTATGTCTAAATATTTTTATGGTTTTAATATTTTGTACCAGCCGTTGAAACTGGTTTGCTGCTAGATGACTGTAAAAGTGAGATTTGGTAAATAAGTATTAGAAATCTTATACTAACACTATGATTGAAACAATAGACAAAAGTGTAGCCAAGTAATTAACTAGTAGAGGTAGTTTTACAGTTCTTTGCTCTTATGACTAGATGTTCCTGCACTCTTGATGGGAACAATGTTGAAACTGACCACGTGTGATTGAAACTGCGTTAAGCTTCAAGATCAAAGAACAAGGACAAGAACAAAGACTTCAAGGACAGCCAACAGAATCTCAAACAGGTCAGTGGTCGTAAAAGCAGCCCTTCGACTCAAATAAATTCTTCATTGTGCATGATTGGGTGTAGGCAGTACTATGATAATCAGTTACAATAAATTTTATGTGTATATATACTAATCTGATTAATATGTAATTAGTTACTCCATATAACCTGTTTGTGCTGAAGCTGTGGCATGCACACTAGGTGAAATTATCCCCCATGCATCCAGTGCTGCAATAAAGAATGCCTGCTTTCTAAAACTCCAAAACAAATCTTGGAGAGTGTCTTCGACTGGTATCAATTCCAATACACTACAATGAGCAACCAGCTGCCAACTGTAGGTTATAAGATGGCATTCTTCTCTGTGGGGAAACCTCTGCTTTTAGTCCTGCAAGGAGACAGGCTCCATTTAAACATGGAAAGGAAAGACAAAGAATCAGTCAAATTGGGGCAGGTCCATGCCATCCCCTGCACTTCAAAATGCCAAGGACTTCACTGCACAGGACAATGCCCAAAACCATTGAAGGCAGGAATTAAAACAACACTGTTAATGAAAAAAACCAAACACTAAAGTATAAAAATTTTAAATTATCCTTACTATATGTAAAAAGGACAGCTTCAGCCTGCTGTTGAGTGTGGCCCTTCTTTACAGTATTTGGAAAAAGAAAAATCAGCAGAGAATAGCAAAAAAAAAAAGAACCAGAAATGCACTGCAATTCAAAACCAGGCCTGATGGAGAATCTCCTGTTAACGTATTTCATCTGTTTTATAACCCTTCTAGAGGAAGGCAGAGGTACTGTGATGGAGTTAAGCTGCAGAAGCAATGGAAAAGTTGAAATTTTACTGCAAATTCAAGTCAAATGCTGCTTTTCCTTGACCCAGCTATAAGCACACAGCTGATCCTTTGGGACAGGGAATCACAGATGACTGAGCTTGATGGTAACCACACATGTCCCCTGCCAGCTACAAAAACTGATGACCTTTAACTACTCTACCCCAATAAGGCATCAAGATTCAAGGGTCTTTGACTCTTCTTTGGCCTTTAGAATTTGACTAGATTCTTAATTAAAAACGGACCCTTTTAACAACAGGAACAGTATCAATGGTTGTTAAGTCCAAGGTGAAAGAAAGTAATGTATGTTTCATTTGTTAATAACAAAATGCCTTCAAGCGCTTATAGCCAAATTTAACCAAAACATCAAAAAAATTCTTACCTTTGCTGCATCAGATTCTTTAAAAATCATATAAGGCTCTGCACACTCCCCAATATCTCCCTGCTGTAATACTTTTTCCAGCTGAGAAGGGAAAATGAACCATTAGAAGGACATGTATCCAGCAAGGATTGTTAAATTAAACAAACACCAGGAAGCAAAAACATTCTTTCAAAAGAGTTAAAGCTTGATTTCCCTTTGTGAGTCAGGGAACAAGCACTGCACTCAAGTTGTTAGAGCCATTAAGTTCCCAGATCTCCAGCTATAACTGAATCACAGGTGTAAAATATAGGTTCAAAGGGAACATTTATCACTTCACTTTGGTGTGATCTGTTCTAGAGCCACTTTCAGCTCATTTTTAAGGTCTTAAAGACAGCTTACACTGTCTTCAGCATCATCATTTTCAGAATTCTGTTCTTATTTCTGTTCTTCATATTAAGGACCTATTGCAGCAGCATAAAAAGGTGACTCAGATGCACTCAGCTGAAACAAGCACTATTTTAAATCAGTGTGTTTTCAAATCAAATAACGAAATAATCAAATAATTAAAATTAGCCAAAGAGTAGATGTTTCCTTCTGAAGTCTCCAAGTAAGTCAATGCCTCCTCAACACAAAACTGCTTAACACCCAGTTTCTGATAGAAATATACTACCTGTCACATGCATGAAGACTGTTTCTTTTCAGAAGCATCCTGGCCCTCCCTCCCACACCCGCGACTGTGCACATGCTGTTACTAGATTAGAATATCTTTAAACTTCTCCCATGCTTATAGAGTGTCATTCATACTTGTCTATTAGTAGAACTCCAAGAGGCTACCAGAATATAAAGAACAAAACTACCTTCCATCAAATCTTGCACTCCCTGGTGAGTTTATGCTAGCAATACCAGCTGTCTGAAAAGTGGTTTCCCAGTGAGTAAGACCCATGTGAAAATTCACCTGATAAGGCACACTATGCATCTGTCTTATTTATCCCTGACTATATCCTTTTCATCATTAAATCAAAAAATCACCTAAACCACCAGCTCCTCTTGGATCACAAGTTTTACAAGCACTAACGTGCTGTCACAAGCTCTTTTGGACAGATCCCCACCTCATAAATATGGGGTTCTCTCTTCCTCATATCTTGTAAAAATCAGAAGAGTGAATATGTGTGCACAGGCAGAACATGATTTTTAGAAGGAACTCAAAGAATCATACCAAAAATTGGAGATGAGAATATGCTCCAACACTACTAAAAGCCTTATTCTCACCTGGGACTGTTTTGTCATGCCAGAAAGTCTTAATTCATTTTCAAAAGCTTATTCCTCATGTAAGAAGCAGTTCATGAAGAACTTGCACAAACCTCAGTCAACAGGGTTCACAAAACACAGGACTTAGCTAGCCAGCAATATAACCACTGCCTGTGAATTGAAAGCAGGTACTGAACTCCCCTTTTTACAACAGGATGTTTTTTATGCAGAGACCAGCCAAAAAAACTGATTCAAATGCCAATCTGAACTAGTAGCATTTGTGTGCTCATTGAATCAAATGAAAGAAGAGAAAATAACTTTTATCTTTGTATACTTTATTCCAGGAGTGGCCAATGTGGCATTTTATTTCAGTTATGGATCTCACTCTCTCAGCAATTTCAATTCTTAAAGACATTTGAAAATCTGGCTTAAGGGTATATATCATTTTTGAAATGGGATTCAGATCAATATATATTTTTAAATCACTCACTTGTCTATCATCTTAAGGAGTCAGCACATTGTTTCACATGAAAACCAAGGTCAAGCCCCAGAAAGCTGCTCTATATCAAGCAAACCTTTATGCTTTTTTCAGTTTTTCGATAATACAATAATGCATATCTCCACTGAACTGTTTCTGTTACAAAGGAACTTAACGTACTAAGAATATCTGAAATGAAACAGAATTCTGTGGTGCCAATGTTTATGCTTTTGAGAATAGAATTCTGCTCTCCAAATGTAAATAAGAAATCAACTAGTCAGCCAGACTTGTTTATATTTTATTTTAAATAGAAAACAAGAGACAATAAGTTAAATTTCTCTGGCATTTCTTACCTTTATTACCAGAAAGACATCTTGAGAGGGATAAGTGATAGAAAAGATGGCAGATCTGGCCAGAGTGGATATAGCAGCAGGGGGGACATGTGGACGAAGCATTCCCTTCATTTGTTCAGAGTTTAAATCAAAGTAGAAATTTTCTGAAATCTAAAAAAGAAATTGGGTAGCTTCAAGCATTAGTTATACTTTTTATTTTTGGCAAATTCTTCATAAACACAACAGACAATTTCAAAGCAATAATAAGAAAAACTAACAACGGTGCCTCTTTTCAAACCACATATAAAAAGAAAAACAAAAAGGCCTCTTCATTAAGAAATCAAGGCAGGACAGTGGGAAAGAAGAAAGGAAATAGAGCAAACAACACACACTACCTATAAAATTTCTTCCAGCTCCCATAAGGTATGTAGTTCCATCACAGGACTAGGAATTACAATTGCTATCTGAATTAAAAATATCAAAGTATCAAAATAGAAAATGATCTTTAAGATCATTCACAGAAAAAGAAAAAACAACACATCTTGAAGCACAGACTGTGAGCTTTCTAAGCTGAAGCACCAAATCCTTGACTGTATCAAGGCTTCAAAGCCAAAATGAATGTGAGCTGGTTATCAACACCAGAGGTCACTAAAGAACTTACTACATTAGAGGAAAAAAAAAAGGAGTAATGAGATGATAAAATTGGCTTATGAAATGTGATTTAAATATTAAACAAAGTTCACATAATATTCCACATACTCTCATCTACATAACTTAAAACTCAATGCATTAAATTCAAGTCTTAAAGAGATAAATGTCAAAATGCATATTTTTAACATTTTTCTCTCTACTACTGCTAATATCTTGAATTAGGAAAACTAAGAGACTCTTCAAATATTAAATACAGAACATAAATAGGGGAATAAATGTATTTTGCATTTCCTATAACTTAGATCTTGAAAAGACTCCTCAGTTTTGTTTTGATTTTAGCAATTTTAGCACGTATGACTTTCTTGTGCATTATTAAAATGTTATTTGGACACATACCATGCTGAATCATGAAAAAGAGATTAAGAAAGTCATAAAAACTTAATCTAAATAAAAGGTTTCAGCTACTTAAGTTCTCTCTGGGGAAGAGACTTCTGAAAGCCAAGATTGGACAATATATATATTCTGATTTCAGGCACTCGCATATTAAATAATATTTTTAGAAAAGTGGTTATACTTCAACTGTTTTACTAAGCAGAAGAAGAACACAAAGATGGTTCATGAAATGCCTTCATCATTCTTCCAACCACTGGTATGTCACTGCCTCCATAAAGGTTTGTTTCCAGAATTAATTCCTCTCTTTTTTTTCAAATACAGGTTTGTAATGCTTCAGTGGAAACATCATCACTCAAGTAATTAAAAACCTACCTTTTTCTTTTCTTTAACATCATACAAAGCCAAACTTGCAAAAATGGGCTCAATTTCTATTTCAAATCTTGAAAGAAAGAAACACATAAAATCAGTTGACTTGCATTTTGTAAGAAAGAATAACCTATCCCCCCTCTCCAAATACTTCCTGCGTAAGGTGACGGCTGACCACTGTTAAGCCTAGATGTCAGGAACAGCTGAGCCAACCTAGGGGCTTGCTCCTGCTGAAAAGGGAGGTCTCGCTCCCCAGTATTCACCCCGCTCCTCTCCTGTCCTGCTTCCTCTGCATTGCCTCTGCTCCCTTCCACTATGACACACGTTGGTGCTCCCTGGACCTTCTAAAAGCCATTTCAACACGTTGACCCAACAGAAAGGTTGGGATTAGGGCCACAGGACATAAAGCATACTTCTATAAATGCTTTTATCTTCTTCAAGTGTCGTTTGAAAGCTAAGCAAAGCAACATAACAGCTTCCTTAAAGCTGGGATAGCTGGACCACTTATCTCGTCTGATTACCTCGAGAAGCTGTTCTATGCACAAATTTACTATGCTGACCTGTTGATATGGCTAAATGGCCAACTGCTCCTCCCAACATTACTGATCAGAAAGCTCCTTCCTCTGGAGAGTCAGAGACAGCTATTTTGACAATTTTCAACATTTAACTTTTGTCAGAAAATACCAATATTTCAAAAACTCTCTCAGAAAGGTGTCAGTTTTTCAGAGTAACTGTTATCAAGTATTCATGCTAACTGAAACACTTCCAGTGAAAACACTAACCTACCAAATAAAGCTAAACTTATTGTTAAATCACCTGGGAAGTTAAAGAAATTAAAAAACATTCAAAACCTGTCCCTACACCAAAGTAAGCAGGGGCTGAAATGCCATTCTCCTGTCCATACAGCCTTCCCATGAAATTAATGCCCAATCCATGGTGGGACACCCCCATGCACCCAGTCCTTGCACAGACCTCTCAGCTTTTCAGCCTGGAACTCTCTTCTGCCAACAGGGAGAACAACATACAGGACTGCATCATCAAACAGGTATTTTCTTTAGTTTTGCAACAAAGGTGAGATAAACCTGAAAATGACCCTGCTTAGGTCATCTTAGCCTTGTCCCCAGGGAAGAGACTACGTACTTCTTGTGCCACCAAGATAGCACAATCTTGGATGCTCACTATTACAACTCTAAGTATGGTTTCAGAGATTACTTTGGTTCACAAACAAGCATGTACTTGGGCCAATTTGCTATAATTTACAGTCAGTAAGAGATGCTTAAATAGCAGAAATCATTAATTTCCAGCATCTAACTTATTTATGCTAAAGACACCATCCTTTGGAGAGGAAGCTCCACTGCTACTGCATATTATGTTGTTCCAGTTCATAAAAGGCTGCAAAATCAGTTCATCTCTATGGCTATATTAGGTCCTGGAGTACTCTACGAGCAGGAGATATGTCCCACACATATATCTCAGTTATGAGCCGCAATGTAGTCTAACCGAAGCTCTCTAATAAGAAGGGTTGACCTAACTGAGGACACAGAAGATGAATACAGCAGTGTGGAAAATCAGTTTTGTACTTTATTTCTCCAAGGGAATAACAGTAAAATTTTACCTTGTGTTATTAGAGAAGAGTTATAGGCAATGAACCAGCTGCAGGTAACCCTATATTCAGGAGCTCCACTTCATTAAACTTGTTTAACAGGTTTCTATTCCTCCAGTTAATGCTTGCTAAGTATATAAAGTCTTCACTCTTAAAGGGACACAGTCAAGGTTGTTGAGCCTAAACTTCAGCAAATCTTTGGTTGTCTTATGTTTTATGGCTTAAGCATTTTTAATCTTCTCCCCCCTCTTAAACATCCTTGTTACAGAGCTGAACACCAATGACTGGCCAACTTAACTGAACAAGTGCAGTGACACATGCGTGCTAGTAACATGGAACAGTTATAGCTACAGACTGGCTGGAAAGCAACACAGAAAAGCCAAGGAGGGTGAATATTTTCTATGTCACACCAATACAAAAAAGTCTTGAAGATAAAACTGTCTGATGCACAGTACTCTGTAACTTATCCGTTATGGAACTAACCTTTAAGCCTATGACCAAACCAAACAATGTTACATCCCTTCAAGCGTAATAAACAAGGCAGCAGAGTTACTCCAGATGCACGTGGATAAAACAGCAGATTTCAATTCTCAATTTCTGTAATGCAGCTGTCTGTCGGAGTGATACTTACTTAAGGGACAAACACTTCACCAGGAGTCTTTGGCCAAAGTGTTCTTTGGGTACTTCAGGGACACTAAGTCGTTCTATGGGCTCCTCCTGAAATTAAAGACAAGACACTTGTTCAAACCACTAATAGCATTATGAAGCAAACATACGGATCACTTTTTACTTCTAAGACACTAGCACCAATTTAATCCGAGGCTTACCAGCATGTTGCATTCATCGGCAGCTACAAATATGCTAAAGTAAATCCCTTTAATGTTTCTACATTATAGGGGATTGCATAACCATAAAGGAAAACCAGTCTTCAGAAAGTAGAATCTATGACAAGACAACATGCTAAAAAACATGCAACCCACAAAATAGCCAAGGTTCTCATGGATATTAAACATAGGTGATCTTAACCCCTTTAAATCCATGGCAGACTGACAATTTTCAGACTCCCTATATCCTTCACTTTTTTAGTCTCATCCACAGGTATATAAAAATACCTCATCTGGTGCTGGATGTAGTGCAAAAAGCTCCTTATGCCTACTGGACTTCCTCTGATCTTCATTGTGGTGGTCAATCTCTTCATTTGGGGTTCGGTCCAGCAGGTTTGGGAGAAGGGCATCTGGAAGGGAGTTCTTCAGATCAAAAATACTGCATGCCCAGCTGCCCCGGGGAGTATCGTCAATCGACATTGAACGTCGTTTAAGGTCATCCTGAGATTCAACAAATTAAAAGCAACTTATAATGGGAAAGGGACTGCACTTTTAAAACATGACTATAAATTAGGTTTTATGTAGCAAGGTTTTAAAGGTACATTACTTGTTCATCCTGGTAACTGTTGCCATCCGGAGCTTCGTCAGACTCAAAGATCTGTTTGGGGAGCCCCTTTTGCCTCTCCTTCTGTTTGTCTAAAGTGTTGGGATTAAATCCAGTTCCCAGCTTGTGATATCTGAAAACAAAGTATTTCAAATGCATTCTTAGCATCCTCTTTGACCCCAAACCCAGAAGCAGAATTACAGAACAAACCCAGTATTATCAGTGTGGGTCCTCTCAAAGCATAAACTGCTCTCTGCAAACAGTATTTCCAGTCACCCTTCACTGTAGCTGGGTAATAATCCAACAACCAGTATTCCAGTACTACAATGTGACTCTGTTCAACCATAAAACAACCCTGGGTGATGTCAAAAGAAGTATTATCAATGGCCAATTAAGGTCATTGTAAAATGTGTGATTGTGATGCCAAGCTTAAAACAGGCTGAGAACATGAGGATTAAAGGCCAACGGTTCTGCTAGAGCAAGAACTGACTTGGAGAAGACAATATTAATAACAATATTAGTAACTTAGACAATATTAGTATTAGTTTTCAAGTTACTTATCAACTTTTTCAAGTTTTCAAGTACTTATCAACTTCAGATAAGATTGCATGAAGCACAGAAGTCCTAAGCACCTCTGGAAAACATATGACTTTACAACCCCAAGTAAAATGAGCATCTTCCCATAGCATCTTTATAAGCAGAATCAGGTCCTTCAGAGCTTTCCAGGGTGTAAGAGCGCTTGCTAGTAAACAGTCTGTCTACTGTTGCTGACAAGATCAGATCTCTTTGACTAGCAAATTTTTGGATACCAAATGGCACTATGTCTATATTTACACATGCATATGGCCAGAGCCACAGTCTCCTTACAATACAAACTCTTAAGTCAGTTCTGAAGTAGTGCTGGGGTCACATCTAGAATCAATTGTTCTTATCCTGCCCTGTTACTAAAGTTACCACAGAAGGATGCACAGATATGTGAAAACCATGGACATGCTAGCAGTGGATAATGAAAGGGAGGAGAAAAAGGAAGAAAGCATTTTCTTCGCTAGGTTATAACTCCCAAGAGCTGAACAATACGATCTGTATAATCCTCACCTGGATGTCCGCATTTCAATCACAGCTCCACCAACAAGTGTAAAATTCATTCTAAATCAGACCTGACTTCAGAGGTGCTTGTGATCATTACTGCCATCAGTCTAGTATACAGAAATCATGCCATATCTAGCATACAGAAATTATGCCATAAGGTTGAAATAAGAACATACTTTTTTTTTTTTTTCAGGCCAGTAAAGAAAACCTACTTAGCTTTTCCAATACCATTAAAGTAATCAATGAATGGATGGATTTGCCTGCCCCCAAAAATATTTTGGTTACAAAGAACTGTAGACAGAGATTGACATAAAGATTATTTCCCTTGGGGTGGGGGAGAGAGGATAGCACATCAGAAGTCATGTTCTTCTAAAACTAGAAGAGCTGGATTTTGTGCCCCCAGAGCTAGCCAAAGCACTTGTAACCATCCAATAGGATGGATTAAGAGAAACCTGTTAGCATCCTTACTTGAAAAATAATTTAATCCTTCCCAGCTAGGCTTTCGGGTTCTTCTGCTCCAGCAGTAACCCTTCTATTTCTACCCAGTCCACCGCCATGATTTTATCCAAGTAAAATCTGCTATGAATGTTTATGGAAGTGCCTCTCCTCCTCTGAAGGGGCAAGACAACCTTTGACTATAGTTCAACAATCACTCATCACACCTTCAACCCACTCTGGCAACTTTGATGTCTTTAGCTTCATGCTTTCCCTGACACAAAACACAATGTGCAGCTGATCTGCACAGGACAGAAAGCTCCACTACCTCCAACTAAACCTCCTCAGTGCAGGAATAACAAACAGGTATTTCAGAGACCAATGAAAGTTGCTGAGAAACCAAGAGGTGTGCTGGCTGAGTGGGTCACATTGTCCAAGCCTACTGTGCATTCTAGACTCTGCCCACAAAGGCTGGGAGTTAATAAAGCATCTCTCTCAGGTTTCTTTCTGGGTGGGGGTTTGGGGTTTTTTTGGTGTGAGATTACAAAACACATTTTTATTAGGTCATCTTAGCACTGCAAAGCATATCTTCAGCATCCCCTGAAGTGGTTCTCAGGACAACATTAAACCAGTGAATTGTAGCAACTGCCACAAGGGCAGAGCTGTAGCTGTAGTCAAGTCACTTGTAGGTGATGCACATCACATGGATCACTTACTCCTTGACAGTAGCTCTTGAAGTCATCAGACTTTCAATCATCCGAGAGAGTGTATGTTCCAAGTAAATCTACTCAGAAACCTTCCTGCTAATTTGCATAAATTAATCAATGTACACACATTCTCTAAACTGTTAACTCATTAGGTAAATGTCGTGATAGTTCAAATATTAACAATTATTTGTTTAAATTACATACTTTCTCAAAGTCTCTTTGGGAACAAATGAAAGCTGCAGAGGACACCTTATCTATTAGGTGGTTTTGACTGCACATGAATCTTACATCATTACGAAATTAATGCAACTTCTCTCTAAAAAGAGCTAAAAACATAGAGAACAAAGAATGAAACAAATGCTGGAAGTAATTTTACTTGTTCGCATCCCCTAAATACTCTACCATTCTAAAGGAGCAACTGTTGACTAAAATGGCCTAGATTTTCAAAACTGCCTCAAGGGGTTTTGACATCTGAGATCTAATTTTCAAAACACAAAGCATCATTTCAGCTAAACACAAAGCATCAGTTCAGCTGAGCTGGGCAACTAAAAGCCAGGGCACACGGAATCAGTAGCCAGGACAATAATTTTTGAGCTTCCTCATACCAGCTAGCCACCCTGCAAAAATTTAAATATGAAATCAAGCTGACAAATACCACAGGGGAACTCACTTTCTGTTCACAATTGCCCAGTCTTCCGTGTAACTTCTTACACAGTCCCTCACATGAGGGTCCATCTCACTGTTAAAAGAATAAAAACAAACACCTTCAAAATCACAGACATGATGATGACTTCTTAAACATACATACTTTCACTTAGGTTTGTATTTACTCTTCCAGGCATTTACAGCCAAAAACTCCAGGCTTCAGCCTTGCACATACTCAAATGCAGAACAATTAATTCCCTTGAGCAAGGTGTCACCCTGTCACCTCCTACCTCTCTTCAGGCACAGCCGACACAAGCGTTCGACATTCTCGGGGCGTGTAAACAACCTCGATGTCATCGGGAGGAAACTCAAGCAAGTCTCTCAGGGGTCCGGACTCCACTGCAGTCGAGTGTGTAATAAGGTAGTCCTCCAACTCAACTGGGTCCACTGCTTCTGTAAGCGGTACCTGGGAAAAAACAAGCAATGGAAGGGTCCTAAAACAGAGAGAAAGAAAAAAAAAACCCAACCCACACACATATATTCTACTTTGGTTTTTAAACCAGCTCTTCTGCCTTGTTGAGGAAACTTGATCTAACATCAGATGACAATTAACCCTAGCGGTGTTCATCTTAGCTAAAGCACACCATATAGTTATTTTTCATGTCTTATCTTTTACCTGATACTTCTCCAGACAGTTCTAGGATGCATACCATCATCATCTCAAAAAAAAAAAAAAAATCATCTATTTTCAAGAAATTCATTAGTTTGCATCAGAAGAAAATATTACACTGTATTTGCCACATGTATGACTTTGGATTTCTTTTTACCATGCTACTGCTCTGATCACAAAGGGAACGTTCACCCTGATGCTAGATGCAAGAACCCTCTGGCCCCAAGGCACAACCCCCGGACAGGAATCCAGAGCACGGGCTGATTTACCAGAAACTCACGAAGCCAGAACTCTAAGGACTAACATTATTTTGAATTAAATCAGTTCTCTGGGGAACACAAAACACAATGTTCATCCACCACAGGTACAAGTTTAACCACCTCTTCTCCCTGATATTAGGGCCTTCAGTGCCACGATGACTCTGCCCATGCCAGGCACTGCTCTAAATAAAATGGTTGCTTAAAAAACATATTTACTGGGCACAAAGCTTGCACCCAAAGCACAAGGAATGACTGAACAAACACACATTCAAGAAAACAGTAGATTTCACTGGGGGTACTGATCTCACCATATTGAAAAAAGTGAGCTTTTTTTAGGTACATGAAAAAAAAAAAAATCACATAAACTGGATACATACATTGCATAACTGTGTCTTTACATATGTATATTATATAAATACATATATATATTCTGATATGAGATCATTATCCTATGAGGCTGTACATAAACATAGACATTAAGAAAATGAAACACTAAAAACAAGTTTTGAGGAACCTGTTTCTACAGCAACTGACAGATTTCCTAGAATTCCCTGGCACATCCCAGTGAGGCTGAGTGGTTTAATATGAGTCACAAAAACACATCAAAATTCAGCAGTTTTTCTCTACTATTTCCTCTTTACTGTCATCCAGATGATTTCTGTGGGACAGGGAACTATCCTGTAGCTTGTCTTCTGTTGGCAATGACTTTAAAAACAACACTTAGTACTTAAGTTTTAAATGTGCGTCTCAAAAAAATTGCTATACCAATCTCAAATTCTAGTTTTTAAACTTGTATTGCCAAAAAGTTGTGAAATGAGTCAATTTTTTATTCAAGGAAAAAGACTCGGCTAACACAGAGGGTATTGAAAGAATCTCTCCTACCACAGCCAACTTCAATGAATAGCGCAATTTTCTTAAAATACAGAAGACAAACCCTTCAGCAGAAAAATGGCGTGACTCCAATAAAGTCAGGTGAGTTGGACCAGATGACTTTATGCCAGATAAGAATCTGGTCCACCAAAAAAAAATGATGTCTAGAAACTCAGTATTTAGTTCTGCAATCCAGGTAAAAGATACAAGTTAATTTCTGTGTAAAGAAATGCACCATCGTCATCATCATCTATTTAACTCTGACCCCATAACCTTTTTTCCCCTTCTAATCCTGAACTCTTGAAATGAATTTGAAGTATGTGATTTGGGGAACTTTTGAAAATACAGATCAGATACTTTTAACTGTTTTCATCGCTGCCAAACTCACAACGAGCAGAACTTGTCATTGCTCTTCCCCACATTACAGTTAACATGTCATCACCCCACACTATCTGTTTCTTACATACAGATAGACCAGCTCCATTTGGCACTAGATACCTGACAAAACATCCAGCAGCGAAGTGTGACAGTTTATTATTGAGGAACTGCTAAAAGTGCATGTTTTTTCAGAAGACCTGCTGCATAATACTACTGCGACTTTTGAGTGCATACAATCCTTTCCACCGATAAACCTCAAAACCAAAGTAGAGTAAGCACCCAGAAATGGAGACTCCTTGCAAATGAAGATAAAAATAACAAAATCACTGGGCAAAAGCCACAGAGGCATTGGGTAGCAGAGGTGCTGGGAAAAGGCACTCCCTCAGGTCCTCTCGTTGCCAGTCCAGAGCCCCATCCATGCAGTGATGCAGCTGCGCTGGACATTGAAAGACCCTCACTGGAAGAAGGCCAGAGGGTCAAGGTAGCCTCGGAGGGTGACTTAAAGCTGCTTAACTGGCCCTATTTTTAAGCCCTAACATTTTAAGACTGAATTCTACTCCTCCTGCTGACCTCCGTTCCACGCTGGCAGCTCCAAAGCTGAGGTACCTTCCAGTACACTTGCTCAGCAAAACTGAGCTGACCATGCAACCTGCACAAACTCATTTACCTGTGCATCTCCCCCGGCTAACAAAGAGGAACTTTTTCCTCATTCCCTCTGATCTTTCTAATCCACTCATCCTGATAAACAGAAGAAAATTACAAACAGACAAGGAAAAAAAACTCCTGTATTAGGACAGAGTTGATGGAGACGTGCAGGACCAAGCAGACACAGGGCAGAGACTGCCACTGCCCCAAACACACCGTGTTTCCCCATCCCTGGCATTTCACATCTCAGATTTCACTTGTCCAACAAGAGCATTGTAATATATTGGACAAAAGATGAATGAACTGGCTACGCTAGTTAAAAAAACCCACCTAATCCGGAAAGGCAGACAGCGCTTAGGGGACTATCCAACACCAGGTCCCGGGTCGGCGCTCCGGGGGTTTCCAAGCCCTTTGTACATCTCAGGATTAGGCCCAAGGTTGCACTTCACAATTTTCCAGTTTGTCTCTTCAGATAACTATTGTACCATGAAGATGTAAACAAACATAAAAGTCAAACCCAGAAGCCTGTATTGGACTCACCATCTGTGCAACCAGAAATATTGTCTAGCACCTGAGCAAACAGGCCAAACATAAATTCATGGTTATGAAGAGGAACTACTTCTTGTCAGACTATTGGCAGATAAAAGGCAAGCACATTATTTTAAGCTTTAGGTATTTGTGGGGGAAGAAGTGATGAAAGAGGAGGAGGAAATAAGGATGAAAAAATGCACCGAAAGGAAAATGAACCCAAATGGCGTCCCAGTGTCTGAACTGAACCACAACAGCTCCTCTCATGGCTCTCACTGCTGATGCCTTAACCTTTCCCCTGTCCTGCATCCCTCTGAAGCTGTGGATGAGACCAAGAACAGACACAGTATTCAAGGGGCTATTCCTGTGTCATCTGCAACCTGGCCAAAGTCGCCTGAAATAGTCATACAAACCCACCAGATTGAAGGCGCACGCTGAAAGAGTTGGGCGAGTTCAGATAAAGACCATGTTATCCACCCTCATCATCCCAGTCTCACCACTGCCTGAGGAGCAGAACCTGCTCTATCATCTCACCTCCACGTCTCCAGGCCCAGCTTACCTCCTTCTGGCACCAGGAAAAGTAACGAGGCACCCAACAGCCGACTCCCCTGGCCTATTAGGATTGTGATACTTCCTTAGTTGACAAAAATTTTGCCCTTATCCTTGTGCACCACTCTGATGTACAGCTGATCTCCAGATTATCACAGGAACAGCAAGGCCTGCTTTCAGCTGCATATGAAAAGGTTTTGAAATCTGCTGCGGCAGAAATGGGGGAACAGCTGAGGGACTGTAAAGTTGTCCTCTCCCACAGCCCTGCTTGCTGGCAGGCTGCAGACAGCAATGTTCAATGCAATCTTTATCCCGCTTCCAGGAAAAGCCTTTTCGATCCCTCCCAACAGCTCCTAGGAAGCAACATCTCCTCCATGAAATGCAGCCGGTTTTGCTTCATCAGACTTCCAGAGGCAGAGGGACAATTTCAGCCAAGTATTTGCAAACGTGCAGTCCACCTACCAGCTGGCTAATAAACCTAACGGGAATACTGGAGCATTACTGTAAGAAATCACTGACAGCACGTCCGTTTCTTCCAAGAAGAGTTTATTAAGGCTGTTCAGAAACCAAAGCTGTACAGGAGCTCTGACCATCTTCCCAACCAGGACTATGGAATAGCCTAAATTAATAGCAAATACACACTAAAAATATGCAAAGGAAAGCCTGCTCCCAGAATCACGATTGCTGCTCTTTTGAAAAATACTCTCTGATTTTGTGCAAACTGTAATTACAGATCAAATTTTGGACAACCTTTCAGACAATTCCTTAACACAGTTTTCACTCAGTGTTTATCCCAGGATCAGACACTGCCACCTCACTCAGTGCAAGTGCTATTCTGGTGCTGTTAAAATGAATAGGACTACATGGGGAGAAAGGGGCTGCTCAGTATGAGTAAGAGGGGCATAACCTGCTCCCTGCCAACATAAGCACCAAATACAAAGTACTGATAAACTGAAAGTACAGAAGAAATCAAATGGGACTCTCTCTTTTTCAGACTTACGCAGCCCAATTACCCCGAATCAAACACACTGCTTGCAAATAATGATTCCACGTATGTCCTTAACCTGACCATAGACAAACACTCTGTCAGCTTAACTAAGACAACAACCTGATTGATTTGGTTTATATAAACTATTTAAGGCAGACGTTCCATAGGTGCATCTGCGTTGTTGCAGTTATAGCTCTCAGAAGTTGCATTTCGAAACCCTATTTCAAAGGTTTACAACTCTCCTGCAACAGGGACAGTCAAGCTTTCTTCTTTAAGGCTGTGTTATTCTTCACTGTTATATCCCCTTAAAAGCTTGAAAATAAAATTTCGTTTCCTATTGACTTTGTCCTTCTCTAGACAGCAAACATTGTATTTTGCTGTAGTTTTAGTGCACTGCTAGCCGAAACGTGTCTCCGTCCTATTTATGTCCTTCTTTTGAGCACCTACCTGTATCATCATCATCAGTTACAGAAGCAGCATCTGCACAAATGTGGCGACAGGGGAAGGATCCTCTGCTAGGGAACGTGGCATAACACCACGGAGGGTAACACAAACCCCCATTTACTTCAAGCCAAGCA